TTGAAAAGGACATTAACAGGCTTTCCAATGAAATCAGGTTTATTGAAACAATAATAATCTACTACAGAAATGATCATTTTGAACTTAAAATACAGGTTTAGTTGATTATTACCTTTATTTTAAGGTAATTAAATCTACAATAAAGGTGTACAACCTGGTTCACAGAACTATCTTGTACCAAATATTAGCTCTTTCTTTTTACACATTTTTCCACTAAAATTTCTTTCAAAAACCTACAAATTTGTGTAATCCATTTTCAATTGCTTTTATATTTGAGGGTCTTTTTGTTTGTTAAATATTCTACTTTATGCTGTGTAGCTTCAGCAGGCTTCTCTTCACCCAGATGGCTCTTCCTTTAAATATGAGATTTATAAATTTAAAGACGTAGGAACATATTTTGGATCACTTCAGAGATGTTCTGTCACTTTCTGTTATGTTTCTGATGTGTCCCTGATTTCCCCCGGGGCGGCGAATGTGGACTAATTACCACGTTTAACAGCTGTTGTTGACTTAATGTGATGACAACAAAATCCAATCATAAGCTTGTCAAGCGGATCCACAGCTCACAGTTCTGTTTATTTAAAAAATGTTTTTTTTACATGGGGGTCGCTTGTGTTTTTGATGTTATGTTTTGGTTGTGGAATAATTTTGTTAAAAAAAAGCACAATCAGGACAAACCGACTGTTTTAAATGAAATTATTTTTGTTTTATATATTAGTTTTATATATTTACTGGATGAAGGGGTATGTTGCAATAAGGAAATGTATGTTTTACACATAAATTAATAAACTTACAATTTCTAGCTTGTAACATAAAGAACATAAGTGGATTTAATTGATTTTTGCAGTGCACCTTGGTGAGAGCTTTATATTAACTGCAGCTTTGTTTGGTCTTTGTGTTTCTTGTCCCAGATGAAACATTTGAGGTTGAGAATTTTAAACCCCAGCAGCTCCATCAGGAGCCTGACTCAGTTTGAYGTATTTAATCAGCCCGTCTCATGGGACAGATGAAAGGAATCTGCTCAAAAAAACTAAAGAAATCACCTGGAGGCTAAGATACCTTTAGCTACACACAAACAGACACACAGTCACTCACTGGCATCGTGTTTCACTCTTCTCACTATAAAGTGATTCAATGTTTTATTCATGTTCTGAGCTCCTGTGTCGACATGGAGACTTAATGATTCATCTCAAAGAAAAGTGTCCACTGTGCTCTTTAAATGTTAGAAAACAATTATGCACGTTTTAGATTTTTATTTTAAATAGACATCTGAAAACTGTGTAAACACTGATGAATTCTCAGCGTGGAAGCATTTATTTATTAATGGAGACTGGTGTATTTATTAACCTATTTACGCTTGAGCGGTTACAGACAGCTTCATGCATATTAAAGCTTTCAAACATTTAAAAACATACAATACAAAAGCGTAAAAAATGTATCATTTGGTCACAACAAATTTAATAAATGATTTGGTTTTAATGATGGAACAGCACTTCTTCAAAACAGTTTTGAGTCACAAAAAAACTGTTAAATGAAAGCTGGGGAAATCAAAATAAAATACATACAGTTAAAACATGAATAATACTGTAAATCATTTAATATATAACTGCTTAATTTAATATAAAAACTGTTTTATCATTGAGCTTAATAATAAAGGTTTTAGTTTAAACGACAGTTAATAAAAAAGGTATTGATGATGATAATTTCCAGTCAGCTTATTTTGATGTTTTGACATCAATAGAACAATACAAATAGAAAAAAAATACAAAAAAGATTAATTAACTAGAAAAATGTATTTCCTGCAAAAATGCAGTGTGAATTCTTTTTCCTGAAATACATTTAAATACAAAACTATTGCTTGCTGTATTTTAACAGTTGTAGTGGAACCCAAAATTAGCTTAATGATTGCTGAAATTTACTGATGAAATCCAAATTGTAAAAACAAAATCTTCAAGGGGCAAAGAATATCTGAAAAGTATATTCTAAAAGAGTAAAAATAAGGTCTGAATGCTAAAAAAGTAGAAAAAAATAAGAGAATAAAATGGCAGAAAACGCTCAATAGCTCCATAAGTATAAATTGTTGAAGAGCCAAAAGTCATAACCAGAAAGCCCTGAATGAGCTGAATGTTTTGATATATAAATTGTTGAAATAGCACAAAAATTGCGGATTAACATAAGTGTCAAAAAATGTACGGAAGAACAAAAAAACATCTCACTAATGTGAATCAAACAAGCTTGAAATATGTGCTTTGTTCCATCAACAGAAACATTTTCATAACAAAGTAATATTTTTATACTCTGATAGCTGCTGATCTCTGAGCTTGTATGTTTCCAGTTAGTATGACAGAAAATTAATTTGCAAAACCATATGTTTTAAACAATGGTAGTAAAGCTGTGTTATCAAATCAAGGTCACACCTGTTAAAACTGCTTTCTGCTGAACATCAGAACTGATCAAACCTTTTCTCAACCTGCAGAGCCTCTTGTACTCTAATAATGAGACGCAATTCAGGCGAGGCAGTGTTCATTAGTATTCATTAGAAATTTCAGGACATTCTTTTCTCTCCTGCAATCACTTTAACGTTGTAATTAGAGAGGTTGGTGGGGATAATGCAGCTGTGCTGTTTAGGCTGTGGGGGGTGATGGGAGTGCTGTTGAATACTAACAAACTTGCTGTTTCCTTGCAATAGAAGACCAGATGTTGTTTCTGACTCAGTGCCTTCTCTCCTGCAGAACTGTTTGAAACACATTTATTACTGTGCACGTTCGCAAAGCAAAGTGATGAATTTACTGATAAAACCAGGAAGAAATTCATGTTTTACTTGAAGAACTAGAAATTTTCTGTTTTGTGTGTRCTCTGRTTTCCTCCTGCAGAACAAAAACATGCATGTTGGGTTGACTGCCAACTCTAAAATGTCCCTAGGTGTGAGTGAGAGTGTGAATTGCTGTTTGTTTTGTTTGTCTCTGTGTGTCTCAGACATTTTTACGAAAATGTAGCATTTGAAACCAGGTGTATTTTTCTATCCCTAAATCAATGTAGTTTTAGAAAATTACTGTAAAAAAAAACTGTTAATGTGTTCAAAGCAATTATTAATGCAATTTTATTAAATGTGTTTTAAAAACGTTTGTTTCATTTCATTCATTAAAAACAAACAAAACATTTAAATGCAATGATTCAAAACCCAAGATACATCAAACCATGAATGAATGAGCGGACAGAAGAAAGAAATTATGTCACATCCGCCCCTTATTTTCAAAATAAAATCCAACATTAGTGCAACATTATTCAGACTCCAGCCTGAATATTGTTTGCAAATAAAAACCAAAACCTAATATCAAAATTTTCACATCTTATATGAACAGCTGTTTATGTCAATATATACATAGTATCATCATTTTTAAAATAAACTAGCTTTTGTCAACTTTTTAAACATATAAATTGTTCTGAAGTTTGAATATCAAGATTATTCCAGTGCAGTTTCCTTCAAACTAGTTCGAAATGGACGTTTTTTTTAAAGATCTCTATTTCCTTATAATTAATTATTTTGACTATCTTTTTACAAATTTAAATAGATATTTTACAAGTAATATTGTCTTGTGTTTTATTTGCATGATGAATCAACCAAATCATAAAAYATCAATAAATTTAACTGATGAAATAATAAATTTGTAGGATGACCGTAACATGTTCTACTAACAACTCCTACAGCTAATTAATAGGATTTGTAAATGTTTTACATACTTTTACTTAAACTTCAAACAATATATTTAATGTGGTACAATTGTTACTTTACATTGTATCTATAATGTGTTATCATTTAATAACGTATACAACAATGCTGTAGSTTTTGCTATTTTTACTCTTAAGTAATTTATGTGGAATCTCCATCTTCATCATCTTCATCAGTGATGATACACACAAATTAAATTTCACTGATTCTGTGAATCAGTTTATGTATTTTCTATGTATAGATTGTGTTACACAAAGCCCTGTCTGCACCCTGTGGTGTGCTTCTCCACAGTTTTGGTCCTGTTAGTTATCAGGCACGTCAGCTTGGTTTGTGATTTCACAGCAGAGTATTAGTCTTGAAGTGACAGTGGCGAGCACCCATGAAGCCCCTTGGTATCGCTACAGAAAAGGTCAGCCCCCCCACCAAACCCCTCCAGTCGCAGAGCTCCAGTCAGCATTTGGTCACAAATAGTCAGGCTGGTTTAACAGTGTTGCTGTATTGACAGGCTTTTGTCCTAATTAAGTGGCTGTTATCTGCAGAATGAGGAACATCAAGGAGAAGAGCGCTGTCGAGGATACTTCTGCTGCCAAACCAACACAGAGCAAGAAGAAGGAGTTAGTTCATTTATAGACGTGGATTTGGTCCAAGACGGCTCACTGTTTACGCTTAAATACGTTATACTGAGGAATATATCAGATTTTTTAAATCATGATTCTTTTTACTTTACATGACTGTAATTTAGGATGAGAAGTACATTTATGACGAATTAAATTATAGTAAAATGTAACATAAGATGAAATCACTCACGGTGAAAAATAGACGTCCAAAAAAGGAAAAAGCTACAGGAAGTAAAAACCATCAATCTGAAAAATTTTTTGTGCAGTATTCTACAATAATACAATAAGAATTATGCTTTGACAACATAACCCACAACTTTATTACATTTTTCTCTAAAGTTCTCCTGAAATTCACGAACTGTCACAATAATACACCAGTGAGGCACTTTTTAACCATTCTCTTCTCTTTTGCAGCTGCGTGTTTGGGTACACAGCTACAATATGGGAGTTAAAAAAATAAAGAATATCTGGAATCAGAGTTTAAAAAGAAAAGAACAAACACATTTATAATAAATAAAAGGATTTAACCTGTTGAAACACAAGCCAGCCTGTTCTCAGCTGAATCTTTTGGCCCGTGTGTTCAGACATACTGATTATTACTGCTGACATGATCACTAAATTCTCTTCTTTTCCTCTCTTTTTTTTATTCGCAGCGGGATGCAAAGGGACAGTATCTGTTTGATCTCATCTGCCACCACCTGAACCTACTAGAAAAAGACTATTTTGGCATCAGATATGTGGACCCAGACAAACAGCGGGTATGCTTTTGGCATGAATGAATTTTAATATAATCATGTGCAGAAAGAAATCACAAACACTAGAAATCTGCTGCAGCTTTGTATTGTGTTTTAAGCCACTGTGATATTTTGTTAAATGCCACATCTTATGCATACATAAAGCATCTTGTACAAAGCGGCTCTCAGCCTCACAATGACAAGTATTGTTTTTTTTTACAGCAATGTAAATTATGTTTTAGGTAGACAGTAAAAATACTGATGACTCATCGTGCCTTTGATGCGTTTGTTGATTTTGTATCCAGTGAAAGACGTTCCTAGATTTTGATGAATGAAGGATATTTTGTTAAACAAGAACTCCAAGGCTGCTCTCATGAATGGAGCAGCCTTCAAGGCTTTTGTTTTACTGTGAAACAATAAAAAGAACAAAAAAATAATACTCAATTTTTTGCCAGCTGTGTGAGAAAAACTGGAAGCAATCACTTGGAAAACAGGAGTTTGCTTTCAAATTATTCTCCTGACCACAAGCTGAGAATGTAAAACATTCACTGTTACACTTAGTAAAGGGTCCAGCAAATTGTTTGATATTAGTCTAAGAACGCCGGTGTGTGTCGAAGCTAATTTAAAGGAACAGATTATTTTAAAAGTGGGGTTCTGTGGAAAGGTTATGAACAAACATTATCTTACTTGTTGCAGATATGTTTTAAAACACCCTCAGTTTAGAGAAAAAGTGTTAAATTTTGACTGAATTAAAAGCTAACGTGTATACCTAAAATAAACTATAGTCTCAAATGTTTTACAGCAGTCCATCTAAGCTTTRTAAATACAGCAAAAATACTAGAMGCACTCGGAGAGTGCAAACCTCAGCCAAGGCCAATTTCYCCCATCCTTTAATAGAGTTAATGYGCAAAAGGAGAGATGGAAACACATTTGCCGAATAAGTTCAGATGTAGCGAACATTTAAGCAGGCAGTATGCACGGGATTTCTTCCCAGTGGAGTCCAATGCRAAAAAAMAG